TTAAAATATACATGGCAGACACTTGTTAGAGGAGAGACTTTAAGGCTGTATTTTGCTCAGCTGAATAAAAAGCTTTGTTATAATCAACAAACACAAGCACAAACAAGCACAGTGGAATCTTACATCTTCAATCTCATGTGTGATGGTGAAGATGTGGTTTACCGTGAAATGTCATTTGAGAAAGTGTACCATTGCCCCTTTAATTCACTCAATCAGGATTTCTTCAACATGTGTGTATTATTCTTCTACTGTGTTTATGTATAGAGAGAAGGTTGGTAGTTAGTAATGCTTTATCAATCATCTTTTGGGGGTAGTAATATGGTATGGGCTTTATTCCCACTCCTTTGATGTCTTTGGTATATGTTTTGGTTGTCTGTCCCTTCATGTCTTTACAATGGTATGGTTTTAAGCAGAGACCTCCTCTGGCAACACTTGGTCTAGTAGAACTGCTTGCACATTTTTGCCCTCTTCTGTTCAGTTTCTACTTCTTCTACAAACACATCAGTGATCATGATGTTAGAGTTCAGGTGTGATGGCTCCACAGTACAGGATGGGGAAAAGAATTTGTTGTAAAAATCTTTGTAGATTTTTAAAAATCTTTCATCTATTTATTGGTCTCCTTCTAGCTTAATGTTTTGGTGCCTTTGGGATGAATTTTCTTAATAGATCTCCTTCTAAACTTTTTTTTAAATTGGCTCTCTTTTATGAGACAATACTGTTCATAATCTCTCTCTCTCTGTATGTTTATAATTATCCATGTCATTGTCAATAGATGTACCTACCCAATGTACCATATATAGGAATATCTTCCTATAAATCTTTTATTATTTTAATATCAATATATCACTTAGGATGTCATGGTTCCTCTTATTTTTACTACATGATCAACCCACCTCTTTTTCCAGTCATATATATTCTTGGTGTCCCTTCATTAGTTCTTGTGCACAATTTACCATTAATAATTTGCTGCATCTTAGTTACATCTAATATCTTTCCATTTTTTAGGGGGTCATCAGAAATTTTAATTCTTCTGAGTTCATGCTGTGCCATGATTTCTAATCATGTAGTGTCATTGAAGAATATTTGTTTTTGTTAGATTTTTAATGGCATTAAACTTCTTGGGAGCACTGAAAACACTGAATTATTTCCTAAATGTGATCCATCCCAAATCTCTTTTAAGTCTGGCCCCACTTCATTGTGCTTTTATAGTATTTCCATTCTCTCCTATTCCCTTCTGTTCCTTTCCTTTCCCTTCTCTTTTCCCCTTGCCTTTGTCCTCTCTTCTCTTTCTCTATCAGTCTATCTATGTATCTACCTAGCCTATCTTTCTCTCATACTGATGCAGTTGGCTCTACTCATCCAACTGCTTGTCATAAACTGAACAAGGTACATTTTATGTCCACTTTATTCTTCCAGTGTGGATGGTTAAGTTGATTTTTTTAGAAATGATGGTTTTTGCTGAAGAGATTTTGTAATATCCTGGCTATTATAGTATAATTAGTTATCATTACCTGGGAAAAGAACATTTGGAGAACCTTGTTATTGATTCATAGGGAATTCTTCTTTTGTTTGGACCTTGCTTAGGATGTCCTCTTTACATCAGTAGACACCTTAGTTGAACTTGTCTTTCTTTCAAAAATTTTAGTTTATTGTCAGGTCTCAGATTTTTGAACAGTTATCTTTATGGTTACATCTGTCACATTTTTTGTATGATTTTAACGTAAAATTGGATAGCATCAGGAGTTGGGAGAGAAGTGGGCTAAAATTCTGGGCCCTCACAAGGTAAAGTAAAAGCTTACCTGTAAGACCCAGGTAATCAAGGGGCAGAGGCCAAGGTTGCAGTGGTAGGAAGAGAAGGGATGGCTTCAAAGAGAAACCAAGATGTGTTCTTGTGAGAATATTTTCCTTCATCTTCTGAAGTGGGTATTGGTGAACAAGCTACAGTTATCTTCGCATTCAATTAACTTTGAAAATGTTAAATCCTTTAAAAAATCTGTTCATCAGATTTATTACTCTGTTGCTATAAGAGAATCTGGCTGGGTAATGCCTGTTTTAAAAAGCAAAGTAGCTGACACTTTAATGATTACATTTTTATATACTAAACAAGGCAGCATAGATTCTTGGTGATATATTTGGATGACAAAAAGTGAATGAAAATGTTTTCAGGGACTAGTGATAAAAGATTATCAGCATTTTCACCCCCTTTGTGGTATCATTCTATGACATTCAGACAAAGCTTTCTTGGTGTTAGATTGACCATTTTGAAACAGGTGTAGTAGAAAGATGATACTTCCCAATTAAGTAGTCCTTTAATAAAATACTCTGTTGCTTGCCAATTATTTGTCATTTTTTATCCTTTGCTTAGAAATGAAAATTTTAAATTCTTAGGTAGGTCTATCTGAAGTCTATAAAATGGGTATTAATATCAACTCTGAAAAAATTAGCTATAAATACCAGGATGGGTATCAATAGGAAAGTGTGACATCAGTGTGAATTATTTTATTCAGGATCACAGCTTTAGATCTGGAAGGGACTTAATGGCCATTGAGTTCCAACCCCCTCCTTTTACACATGAGGAAACTGAGGCCCACAGAGTTCTCCAAAGTCTTACAAATAGTAGGTGACAGAAGAGATTTGAACCCATGTCCACTGATTCTAAATCCAGTGCTTTTTCCACTGTCCTTCAAGGCCTCTCACCCTTGTCATTTTAGCTGGGCATCCCACCTGGGGAAGCCTTTGTCAGAGCTTATTACACAATTTCTTTTTACAGTCACCCCAATTGATGAATATGCAGTAGAAGAGTCTTTTAGGTTTAGAACAGCTTGCATTCTTTGTAACTGTGTAAGGATTCTTTAAACTGCCATTTTGCTGTTTCAATTAAAAGGATGCTTTATCAAAAGCCAGGAGAAACATTTAAATGATATTTAAGTACTCCTCTGTCCTTACCTCCCAAGTGAAAAAACAAAAAACAAAAAACAAAACTACACACAAGAATCCAAAGGAATGGATTAATGACCATGGATTATTTTGTCTTTTGTTTGTTTCTTCAAAGAACTAAAGGAATATTTCCAACAGTAGATGTTTTCTGTTACATATTATAGTGGGTATCCATCCATAAGTAGCCTCCACAGTTCTTCTCTCCTTTCCCACAGCAATAGGATTTCAAAACCCCAAAGGGATTTTAAAATCCCAGAGAAAAGAGGTGGGAATATGGTTTGCACACTGAAGAAATACATAGTTCAACCAGGACAGAGTTAGGAACTGAGCTTAATTTCTGAACAAGCCTATGCTTTGTGAGAAGCAAAATAGAAGAGAGAAGTAAAACTTATGAGCTTTTCATCTAATAATAAAACAAAGTAAACTTTTATTGCACACTTACTATGTATAAGGCACAGGGATTGAAAAAACAGATGTGATTGGACTATTGTTTTTAACCCGAAGGAGGTCATTATGTCCAGCTGCTGCATTTTGTGTATGAGGAAGCTAAGACTCCATGAGGTGAGATGACATTGCCATGGTTGAACATATAGTCAGTGGCAGAGCTAGGATTCAAACCCAGTTCTTCAGACTAAAACTAGTTCTATTTCCACTGTGATGTAGGTGGGGTTGGGGGGTGAAGGGGTAGCTGAGGAAGAGAAACACAAATAACTACTATAAAGGGAGAATATGGTATATGCAAGGGAGAGAGTCAGTCAAAAAGTTATGATAATATGAGGGGGGGAAAGGAGAGAAAAGATTCAGGGGGAATAGGTTGTGTGTGTGGGGGGGTGGGCAGGGAATGACATAGAGTAGTTCCATATGTGAAGTGAGCCTTGAAGGAAAACTGGGGACCTAAGACACAAATCAGTTGCATTTATTCCATGAACAATATCATGGGTATCACCTGTTGGAAGAAGAAATGGTGAAAGAAGGGGATTAAGCACTTTTTAATAAGTAGAAATGTGCTCTCTTCAGTCTACAATACCTGATGCTTTTAGGAGGTTAGCAAATATTTTGTTCCTTCTGCTCACCACTTCCCTTAATCTGACCTCCATAACTATTTCTATACTTTTTTCTCCCATCATTTACCTTTTCAATTGCCTACAAAATTATGTACTTATAGAGAACCAATAACACTTGGTAAAGATAATTTTAAGGATGCACAATTTATAGCAGAGCTTACTATCCTTTTCTAATATTAAGTTCTCATTTTAACTACAATGGACTCCCACATGATAGTATTTGCACCATCCAATGTGGTACAAAAAAAACAATGCTGAGTTTGGAGTCAATGGATATTTATTAACTGTGTGACCTTGGGCACATAAGTAATAAAAGAATTTAAGTTCTCTGGACCTCCATTTCCTTATCCGTAAAATTAAGTGTTTGGATTAGATGACTTCTCATATCTCTTCTATCTCTAAATGTGTGTTTAAGACAGTGTATAATGACAAAAACTAAAGTAAATTCAGTAATTCCTTTAATTTGTTAATAATAACATGTATATACAATTGAAAAATAGAAATTGTTCTCCTATTTTAAGAGAGCAGATGTTTACTATACTGAGTTTGTTTGTAAAAAAATTAATAAGTAAATAAAATAACCATTAACCAAAACAAATAACTAAATAAACTTATAAAATGAGGAATTAAAAACTTATACAAATTCTTAGTATTTAAAGTAGAAGTAACTGAATTAATAAACAGCAAACAAACCAAAAATATTCTCATTCTATACCTCTTTCCAGGTCTGTCTAAAGTTTTCTTTTCTTGTTTTTGTTTTCTTTTTATAATGTGATTGTAGTAAATGTTATCTAGAGACATTTAGTGAGTCATTTAATGAGTCACTACTGAGTCATTTAACATGCTGGACATCTTGTCATAACTCTGTATCCCATAGAAGTTCATGAACCACAGCTTGGAAATGACAAGGTATAGACATGAAAGTATTTTTAATTATGTTGCTATTTCAAGAATGTTTAAAATAGATTGATTCACTGTTGTTTTCTTTTTAAGCTGCAGCATCTCCAAAATTGCTAAAACTAGGACCAGTGGAGCTGACCATAATTATTACCATACCAGTTTGCCTTTTGTCGATAGCTGCAATGTTGACTATATGTACCTGTCAAAGACGTCAATGCACTTATAAAAAGAAAAAGAGGCAAAATGTGGAAGAACCACTAAATGAATGCAACTTAGTAAATGCTGGCAAAACTCTTAAAGATCTTATTTTTGATATGACTACATCTGGGTCTGGATCTGGTATGTACTCATTACTCATTTCTAAGTAAAACTCAGAAGCAAAATGCTTCCCCCTAATGCTAGGGAATATCTTTTTCTCTCTTTTGTTTCCAATATCCCTGCCATAGCATTGATGGTATGGTTAGAAAACAAGTTTGGGTCTTACCGCCACTACACTGAATATTTAATCTCTTTTCCACATGATAGCCTTCAAATATTTGAAGACAACTATTCTTTCTCTTCTTGCCTAGAATCCTTTACATTATGGCATAACCTCTTGCCTTTTGATTATTCCAGGATATTTACTTAAAATAAACCAGTAATTACATCAGGACTTTGAAGACTTTTGGGTATAATTTCAAACAAATTTTTGTAGCAATGATAAGTATGGTGGGTTAGTGGTTATGGACTCAACAAAAAGATTAACATATTGCTTGTGAAAGGTGAGAGGGAATATGTTAGCGGGTGCCAATTCATCCACTAAGAAAAAACATAAGAGCAGAGAAGCAAAAGTGGATAACTTCTTCCTCGCTCCTCTCATTTGTAATTGTAGCCTTGAACTTAAATTTGCTCCTTTGTGCTGTTGATAGTGAATATACTTGGGCTTGTCCTCACTCCTTTGTTCCACCTGCTGTTGGAAGCAGATGTCAGAGAGATAAGTTGTACCAATGGAAGAAAAGGGAATTTGACTGTTCTTACCTGCTGCCATGGGAATTGGTTTGTCTTTTTAAAGGAGTTCTTAGTCTTTTTTTGCGTCACTCTTTTGGACCCCACCTCAGGTTAATGTCTTTAAGTGCAAAAATACATGTGATTACAAAGGAAACAATTTATATTGAAATATTTATCAAAATATTATTTGAAAAAGTTCCCATAACCCAGTTTAAGAACCCCTGTAATCTCAATGCTTCTGAGATGCCTATAGGCAACTGTTTTCTAAGAATTTCCTGCTTCTTTTCTCTAAGAAGTGGTTTGTCTTTCTAAAGGCTTCTAAATGATCTAGAAGTGGTGGCAGCTCTTCTAGCTCATGACATCATGATGCAGAAGTGTCAGGCATAAATTTTTTTATTATCAGACAGAAAGCACTCAACTTCTATAACCATCCATAGAAAGTACATCTGCAGAAATCTTGTGGTCCAAAAAGTAGAAGCAAAGTCCATTTGTTTTTAGTAATACAATCTCCTAAGTTTTTTATGAAAGGACTTTTTGTTTAGTTTATTTTTGTGGTCACTCTTTCAAAAAATAAAACCTGACCTCTTTACTAAGCATTACTATCTCCACTTACTTGTTGAGTACACTGGGCAATATTGTCCTGCAATTTTTTTTTTGTAGTTATACATACTTTCTTAAACTAATGGGGGTGGGAATGGGAGGAAGAAGACAGGAAACTAGCCCTCTTAGTAAATTAGGGCATTGCACCTGAAGTTTGTAACTAATTTTTAAGGTTATTTCCTATAAAGCTTATATGTCTTAGTGAGCCATAAAATAAAAATATAAGCTATTCTACCATGTTAGTCATTTTGAGGTTGATTTTCCCCAATTATCTAAGTGAGAAATTACTTATTATTTATTAATGCAATCTCACTAACATGAATTTGTTAAGTGTCTACTATGTACAAGGCACTGTGCTTATGCAAAGACAAAAATGAAAGTATGACTTCCTTCAAAGATCTTATTTGGAGAACAAAATATGTACAGAGATATGTACAGGAAAATTTGAGTGAGACAAAATGCTAACAACTAGGGGCATCAAGAAAGACTTCCTACAAGAGGTGATGGTAGTTCAAATCCAATCTCAGATTCTTACTGACTGTATAACCTTGGGCAATTCACTTAACTTCTTTCTGCCTCAATTTCTTCATCTATAAACTGAGAGTGATAAATACTCTGCCTTCCAGGACAGTGAGAATAAAAGAAGATAATGTTTGCAAAGTACTTTGCAAATCTGAAAGCACTATATGAATGCTGAATGTTGTTATTGTTAATAACTTATTTGTGTATTTGGCTGAATCTTCAAGGGTGAGGATGTGAGGAAGGTTTGTTAGAGAGGACTATGATGTGACTTAAAAAAATAATCTTGATTCACTACTGGAAATCATTCCTATTGATTTAATAATCTTAAGGACATTCTCTCTCCAATGAACTATAATAATCATTTAGAACCAGAGTAGCTGACTTTATAGATTGTGTTTACCTGGTATAGACAGATCTGTAATATAAAGACCAGATGTAGGGGAATATCTGAGTCAGAGTAGCAAGGGCCAGGGATCTTTTATACCTGGTAGAGATGTGAGGCTGGTATTGACAAATGCTCTCCCCATCCTATCATCAAAATTGACATAAATTCAATATGTAAAATTTCCAAGAATAAGTAATTCTATATACCTTCTATATGGGAGAAATTCCCTTGGACTCCTTCCAAAGTTTGTACTCTGCTGTTAATTTGAAGTGGTAACCTGATTTGAATATTGCATTTGCTCTTCATCTTCTAAGATTTGTAATAATATTATTTTGGTTTCCCAGGATCTCACAAAGTACTCTTTCAAAAACTCTTATTCTGTGATGCATGTAAGCATGGCTTTTTAAAAGAGAAGATTTATCAGAATGGTGACTAATCGTCAATCCATGTTATGCAAGGATAGGTTAAAGGAATTAGGTGTGTTTAGTTTAGAGACAAGAAGACTCAGGGAACACCATAGCTGTCCTCAAGTATTTAAAGGACTGTCACATGAAAAGAATTAGACTTGTTCCATTTGACACCAGAAGACAGAACTAAGAACAATGGATGGACATTACACAGAGGCTCAATGTCAATTAGACCTCTCCTAAAAGTTGAATGGGCTCCCTTGGAAAGTAGTGGGTTTCTCCTGGACAGTGTCAAGCAGAGACTGGATGAACTTGTTGGATATGTTGTGGTGGACATTTTTTTTTTTTTTGCATATGGGTTAGACTTCTGATATTCCTTACAACTCTAAATTTTTGTGATTAATAAAGTGACCCATTTTCACTTATTTGGTTGCTTCTCTTGACTAGATGAGATAGGTAAAAGAGGAGAGGTATACACATTTTAAGAGGGCTAGCAGAAAGACTCTTTGGCTTAAAAGGTGGGGGAAGAACACTTAAAGCTAAGTTCTATGTAAGAGAAATATTCAATTTTGAGTACATAAATAGCAATTTGTGTTTGATGCTTTGGGATGGTTTTTAAGTACACTTTGACATTGAATTAAAATAATGTATTTAACATTGGGTATGACAATTCTAATTATTCTAAGTTATTGAAGATTATAACTATGATTTGATTGTTCATACTAAAATGATGGCAATTATGATGTTTGTTTTAGATCTTCTAATGTATATTTATTTTAACCAAAAATTCCAACTCTTTCTTGTTTAGGTTTACCTCTGTTGGTCCAGAGAACAATTGCAAGGACAATTGTTCTTCAGGAAATAGTAGGAAAAGGTAGATTTGGTGAAGTATGGCATGGCAGGTGGTGTGGGGAAGATGTGGCTGTGAAAATATTTTCCTCACGAGATGAAAGGTCTTGGTTTCGTGAGGCAGAAATCTACCAAACAGTTATGCTGCGACATGAAAACATCCTTGGCTTCATTGCTGCTGATAACAAAGGTATTTCCAGCCAAGTTCTGTATTTTGTGTAAATGTATTTAATGTATTTTCAGGTGAAAGCAAGCACATTTTTATTGCAACAGAAAAGTGTTCAATTTTTTTCATATAGGTGTGATGAAAGAAAAATTATATTTATTTCCTATAGCAAAAAGGTAATATTTGATAGCAATATAATCAACTTAAGTCAAATGTAGTTGAGTGAACTCATTTAGACAGTAATAATATTGTACTTCGTACTTGTAGAATCTTTTCGTACTTGTAGATCTTTTATCTAGTGAACCTGGAGAATTTAATAAAAATTAACTCCTTAATACACCAAACCTTGGTGAGAGGGGTTTCAAGAAAATTTAAGACAGTGACATTTCAAATTAGCATTGTTTTGATTTTTTGCATGTAAAAATACACAGTTTACATCTGGTTAAGGTTTTAGAATCCATTTAATATCTATTTCTACCTTGAAATTTCTTTCTGAGTTGCAAGGGAAAAGGAAAGGCCTTATGGTTTTTAGTTACAGTGTTCATAAAATATTGGCCTATTCCTGATTATTCAAAAGTGATAGATTACCCATGTCTTATTTCTTTGTCTTTTGTGCTTTTTAATTCATAAGATCTTAGATGTAGAGGTAGAAGAGATCTCAGAGTCCATCTAGTTGAACCTTCTCATTTTACAGAAAAGTAAACTACGGCCCAGAGAAATTGGGACTTGCCCAGGGGCACAAAGGTAGTAAGCATCTGAAGTGAGATTTGAATCCAGGTCCTCTGATTCAAATTCAATATTCATTCCAATTTTACCTTATTTCATAGCTTCTTAGCATCTACCTTAGCAGCCAGGAAAGGAAAAGGAGAGGGGGAAATGAATCAATTTATTTTAAATATATAATTGCTTTTAACCATATAATTAGTGGTTAAGGAGGCCAAGTGGTATAGTATATGGAGAGCTGTCTTGGAATCAGGTAGATCTGAGTTCATCTCCAGCCCCGAAACAAATTATCTTCTCAATGCCTGGGCAACTCTCAAGGAATACAGAGAATAACCAAATTGTACTGGGGAGAGAGTTTCTCACACCGATGAAATCATAGATTCACACTTCCTCCCTTTTCCCACTCCAAAAAAGAAAGAAAGAAAATAGTACTTTTGAAAAAGATCGGAAAGGTAGAGAGAGCTTGTCATTATTTTTAACTAATAGGACCATTAAAATTTTTCTGTACCTTTAATCATCTATTTCCTTGTTCTCCATTATCCTTAATAATTGAAAATTAATAGTCCCCTCCATATTCATTTCATTGTGAAATAATGATTCAAAACTAGATTTTCACAAGTGCTTTAGTCATGTTTTAACCTGTGGCATACATTTGTGTTTACTTCATCATGATTTCTATGTGCTTCTGCCTCCTGTGCCTCCTAAATTTTGATTTGGGGTGAGTAGGAGTCAAGGAAAAACTGAGAATGATTTATTCAGGACTAATTTGGCAATTTAGATCGTGCTAGACACATGTCTTTTCTAAAGAAACCTCCATACTTGAAAAACTGATCCAAACTAGTGGGGTGTTTTTGTACAATAAAGTACTTTCAGCTAGAATATGGTTACCTTGTCACCTCCTTCATCTCCCAACCTTATATTGAAACATTAAGGTCCACATGCTTGAATCTGAGTAGTAATAATAATAATAATGCTAACTCTCACTTCAATAGTGTGTTAAGATTTCCAAAGTACTCTACATGTATCATTGATTAAATTAATTTAGCAAATCTATCAGTGTAGTAATAAGAAATTGTGTGGATAATCTTAGGCAGACTAATATCATTTATAACGTTCATTATGTCTAGAAGCCATTGTAAATGACACGGTTTCAAGTGACAAATGATTTTCCCAAATACTTCCTTGAAAAATGTTGGTGAATCTTGAGTAGGGGCTGGGGGAGGCAAACCATATTTCTTGTCTTGTAGTGAATGTCAGTGTAGTCTATTGGAAAGGATAGCTTGGAAAGAACTTTGTAATCTCTAGGATGAGACACATAATCTAATTATCTTCACTGACATCATGAATGGTTGTTATTTAGCTGACCACTTCCCAGAATGGAGCAGGCCATGATGGCCCAGGACTTAGATCCCATGGATGAACTGGCTTCCTTAAGAACACAGATAGACTATGTTTTTTAGGCATTTATCTTTCTAGAAAGAAAAAAGATGTATATTATAATCTATAAATTCACAGCTTGAACTAATACCAGGATTCTGAGACCAGGATCATAAAAATTAACCAGTTCAGTTGGTAACCATGCAGTGAAAGAATACTGTGAAACTAGTAATGACATAAGTTTTGGCTCCAGTAATATTATATATAAGCATATACTGTATATTTCTATAATTGCCTTTATTCTTGAAAGCTGAAAGTACTCTAGGGCAAAATTTATAGACCTGAGGTGCAGAATAAACTTCTACTAATAACTAAGCCAGCATTTTCCCCCCTACAACTTGGTTGTTACTACCAGCAGTCATTGGTAGACTAGAAATGATACAGGGTGAAGGCAGAAGGGAATGTTCTATGGTTTGGATTTATACCAGATCACTACTGCATAATGTGATGGTGAAGTGTACAGAGAATGTACATGAATGGCTTTATGTGTCACCTTCAAAGAAAGAAGTATCCTGGCTTTGCTCATAATTCAGTTTAATTTTATTATTCTTTGGGCTTTTCCATTTACCTTTTTATTCCAACAAGGATCTTTTTTTCTTTTCAGATAATGGAACTTGGACTCAGTTGTGGCTTGTATCCGAATACCATGAGCAGGGCTCTTTATATGACTATTTAAATAGAAATACAGTAACAGTGGATGGTATGGTCCGATTGGCACTTTCAGTAGCTAGTGGTCTGGCCCATCTACATATGGAGATAGTTGGAACACAAGGTATATTTTGCTTTTTGCATTCTTTTTTTATTGAAAAATATGAATGAAATAGGTGGCACTTTAAAAAAATTGTCTTAACTCATCAAGCACCATTGAATTAAGCATTGTTCAAGGCTATTAAATGAGCCTAAAGATACATTTTTTTCCATGATGAAGTCAACTCTTCAGTAAATTCTTGAGTTTTCTCTACCTTTTATACTGTCCATAGCAAGTTATTAATTCCCAGGTGGTTCCTTCTGGCTGCTTTATATACTTTTTCCTTTGTAGTCAATTATTTCATACATAGTGTTTAAATAATTTTAATGTACTGAAGGATAATGTAACTAGGAGTGTAATTTGTGATGCTAAAAATAATGTATTACAAAGCTAAATAATAATAATTATTATTATTATTTTGCTTTTTGGTGAGGCAATTGGGGTTAAGTAACTTGCCCAGGGTCACATAGCTAATAAGTGTCAAGTGTCTAAGGCCAGATTTGAGCTCTGGTTCTCCTGACTCCAAGGCCAGGGTTCTATCCACTGTAACACCTAGCTGACCCAAAGCTAAATAATTCTTACTGTCTCTCCACCCCCTAACACAGATATATGCAAGTTTAACAAGGAAAGGCTAGAGTCTGAGGAAAGAAGTTGTATGAGTTGAAAAGTCTTTATTGATCCTTTACTGTTAGTCTTTTGCTTAGTGTCTGCTGAGGACTGAATAGAATTTATGACTTTTTTTGTATTAAAATATTTGCTATTTTCTCATGTGGAAATGAAGACGGTAATTATTTTGTTCAGAGGATATTCTGAAAATAATTCTGAGTTGATTATCCTTTTCTCATGTGGAAAAATACATTCATTTTTTTCTTTGTGCTTCATAGGCAAACCTGCAATTGCTCATCGAGATCTAAAATCAAAGAATATTTTAGTGAAAAAATGTGAAGCCTGTGCTATTGCCGACTTAGGACTAGCTGTGAAGCATGATTCAGTACTGAACACTATTGACATCCCTCAAAATCCCAGAGTGGGGACAAAGAGGTAAGGCAGATCCCATAGAGGATCGGGATTTTTTACCCACAATTAGGCACAATCTGACTATTGAACATCAAAGTTAAGATCACGTACATATGAATAACAGCTCAGTGCAATGCCTTGTGAGTAGGGG